ATGTCCTCTCCTCAAAATGCTGTGGAGCCGGCTGTTATCTGGGAAACACATAGCTAATTTACATAAACATTTTAATGACCTTAAAGATAAATGTCATGCAAATACTCAAAGGGTGAAGAAGCCTTTGGCTGTGGGCACACAAAAACCAAAGCACAGGAAACTGCATCTGTCTCATCTGAGGGGTCTGACAGTTCTAATAATGATGTCAAACACATTTTCAGGCATATCCTTTTCCAGGTTATTTGTGCTGTGAAGTGCTCTGTGTTGTGAAATGTCAGACTGCTGCTTTTTTGGGGTGCCATTTTCATTTAAATGCACTGGAACAGGATTTCCACGGAAAATGCTCCGGTTCTGTGAGGCACATGAAATTGTATTTAATGCTACTATTATTATGCAGAGTTGCAACTGGACTGCCTGAAGCAACATTCAACTTAAATCAGCCCAATGTGAATTTACATGTGAAGGTGGGACGGAAGGGAAGGAAATTTTTAGTTCTGGAATGTTCTCTAGTAGACTCAACGCTCTGAGTGCCTCCAATGTCAACTCCTCTCCAGGCCTTTCTTGGTCATCACATTTGAGAAGTTTCTTGTCGTAATTGTAACTGCATCCTAATTCTTTCTTTAGTAGCAGAAGGTCTGACAAGTTTGCAAGCTCATCCTAGAAAAAGTGCTCCATGCCTCATTGCTGAATATCACTACAGTCTCCTACAAAGTACTCCCCTTGGGAAGCTATGCACCAATGCCAGTGCTGAGTCCACCCTTCAAAGCCATCCTGGAAAGCCATCCTTCAAAGCCACTCTTTTTCTGCAATGACCATCAGAGCTATTGTCTTGCGAAGGTCTGACAATTACATTTGCCTACTTGCCACCTTGCACTTACATTGGTCACACTGAACAAACAACTTGTAAGACTTTACAACCTCAGTGTAATCAGCATGTCACAGCCGTGTTCATGTGTGTCAGTGTCTTGCTGAGTGGTGTTCATTATTGTTGTTGTATGTTTTTGTGTGCTGTGAAACAACCCTGATGGTTGTTCCAGAAAAAGAGTTTCAAAATTGCTTTGAAGGGTAGACTAGACTCTGGGGTTGGTGCATAGCTTCCAAGGGGAGTACTTCGAAGGTGACCATAGTGATATTAAGTAATGAGGTATGTGACACTTTTTCTAGCTAAATTGTTAGATCTTGCATACATCACAAGAGGTAATTATATGTTTGTTAAGAGAGGCCATATGTGGAACCCTTAATATCAAAAAGCTTAGGGAAAACTACTGGGTTCAAAAATCTTAGCCTTAGTAATTATGTTTGTTGTCCTTTCATACAAGAACAGGTTCTCTAAGTCTTGGTTTATTTAACTATAGAATGTCCTAAAAATGGTATTTATTTCATAGGGATATTGTGAGAATTAAATGAGGTAGGTGTACAGAGCACTGCTATCAGTGCCTAGAATATAGTCAGCATCACTAAAGTGTTTTCTATTATTACAACTGATTTGTTGTCTGTCTTTTCCTGTCCCTGCCTGCAGTAGCCTGTGAATTCTGTGAGGGCAGCAGCCATAAATATTCTTTTTTCCAATGTGTGTTCAGTGAGAAATGTGCCCTCCCGCAGCACAGGATCAATAAATATTTGTCGGTGGAGTAGACAGACAGATGAATGGATGGACTAGTTTTATAATTCACCAAGTTCTTTCACATATATTGTCACAATTTAGCTACAGAGCCTTGTTGTCAGTTAATATCAACACTTTTCTCATTTTTCACATTAGGAAACTGAAGTGTGGAATTATTAAGTGACTTGGCAAAGAACAGGGTTCGAGCATGGAGAACCCTAAGCTTGAATTCAGATCTTCTCACTCTAAATCTCATCTTTTGCCTCAACCTTTTCTTAATTTATTTATTCTGAGTCCTCTCTATTTGATTTTTTTTTTTTTAAGACAGAGGTTTCCTCTGTCACCCAGGCTAGAGTGTCATGGCATCAGCCTAGCTCACAGCAACCTCAAACCCCTGAGGTCAAGTCATCCTCCTG